GTTACGTGTTTACCGTGATTACTTTGAGAAACGCTTTATCGCCGATACAGAAAACTACTTTGCCAATGAAGCTGCTGAATTTATTGCTGCAAACTCCGTTACTGAATACATGAAGAAGGTTTGATTTCATCTATTATTAGGATTTTTAGAATAATGAATAAAGTATTTGCTACTTTATTTTTGGAAGATTTTTAATTTTTGTTTCTTTATTTATCCAAATGCACTTAAATTTCAGGTAGAAATCAGATTAAAAGAAGAAAAAGAACGTTGCGACCTTTATCTTCATGAATCAACTCAGGATTTGTTGGCAAAAACGCTGGAAAAAGTACTTATCACAAAGCAACTGGATTTGTTTCAGAATGAATTTGGAAATCTTCTTGAGTCAAATAAGGTCATCTTTAAACTCTAAAGTTCTTTCAGTGCTTTGATAAGCTTTCAGTAAGTTTATGAATAAAGAATACTTGTTTCAAAATGCCTGTATCCTCTTAAGCTTTTTGTGTTAAAAACTCCTTGAAAAGATATTTAAAGTTTCTGTCTCCTTTATGATCACATTTTAAACTTTTTTGAATATTTAAGAATCTTTTAATTTCCTTTTAGGATTCTGATTTGGAGCGCATGTATACACTTTGTGATCGGGTGGAAAACGGTTTAGACGAGTTACGGCTTGCACTGGAGAAACATATTGCTCGTCAAGGAGAAGCTGCATTGGATAAAATATCCGATATGGCAATAAATGTTAGTATTTAAAAAGTACCAAAAAAATAATTTTGCATCTGATTGCTACACATTAAAAAATAGGTTAAGCAGAAAAATATGATTTGTAATGATTATTTAACTAGAATTATTCAGTCATGTTTATTTGTTATAATGATTTGTTCCAGTTTTGCTGAATATCATGCCTTTCTAGTAGTACTATTAATTGGATAGTTTACTAAGTGTTCAAGATTTCAGGATCCAAAGCAGTATGTTTCAACAATTTTGGAAGTGCACAAACGTTATCATAGCTTAGTAACTTGTTCTTTCAAAAATGAACCTGGTTTCGTCCAAGCACTGGATAAAGCATGCACATCGTTCATCAACCGTAACAGTGTTACAAAGAAGGCAAATGTAAGTTGTGGTTTCCTTTTTTTTTTCTTTTTGATTTTGAAAAGCTGGAACAGGCTACAATTTTAGTTTAAATGTGTTTCAGAGCACATCGAAAAGCCCGGAACTTTTGGCAAGGTATTGCGATCTCTTGTTGAAGAAAAGTGCCAAAAATCCAGAAGAAAATGAACTTGAAGAGCTCCTTAATCAAATTGTATGAATTTTGTAGACAATTCAAACTTTAAAGCGTACTTTACAATTTCTTAATTATTCGGAACAAATGTAAATCCGTTTAAAACTTTCACATGAGAAACTATGAGATATATAGAATATTTGACGGGTTCGAGGAATTTAATTTAAGGTCTCATTTCAGATGATTGTATTCAAGTACATCGAAGATAAAGATGTGTTTCAAAAATTCTACACTAAAATGTTGGCAAAGCGACTTGTAAACGAGCTTAGTGCCAGTGATGAAGCCGAAAGTAACATGATTTCGAAGCTGAAACAGATGTGTGGGTTCGAGTATACCAGTAAACTACAGCGAATGTTCACTGATACTAGTCTCAGTAAAGTGTGCTATTCATGTGATTAACTTAGATGGGCTAATTGAAATTACCAGGATGTGTCAATTTCTCACCGTTAGAAGCAAATTTTAATTAAAATTGGCACAATTTTGAACGCCACTAACTTATAAATTCTTCATTTTTATAATTTAAAATTCTTGCAATTTTGACATTCATCATATGTTGTCGCGAGAATTATTTTAAGATTTAATACGATACGACCTTTCAGGATATAACGGAGAGATATAAACAATATCTAGCGGCTAAAAATACGAATTTGGGATTGGATTTCTCTATCATGGTCCTTGGGTCAGGTGTATGGCCTTTCAGTCAGTCACCTATTTTTGATATCCCGGTGCAACTTACAAAATGTATGGAATCGTTTAATGAGTAAGTGTATGAACTGCAAATTTTCATAGATTTGAAGTTAAAATTTTCAAAATTATTAGAAATTGTGGAATATATTTGAGAAATTTGGATTTTCTGTGCATCTACGAGTATTTTGATTAATGTATGATGGAAGTAAGCATTTTAAAGACATTATATCTTATCGACTCTGCAGAGACAAAATGTTTTAATACATTTTATTTCTTAGATTTTACCAAACACAACATACGGGTCGTAAGTTAACTTGGTTGCTGGCACAGTGTCGTGGCGAGCTTTCAGCTTACGGTTTTCAAAGGAAGTACACTTTCACTGTAAGTCATTTTTGTTTGAAAAAAAGTTAAATTTAAATTTTAAATTCAAAGATGCTGAGAAAATAGTATTCGGTGTTCGAAGTAGCTTCGACATGCAATTTTTTTTTTTTTTCTTCTTGGTTTTCTGAAACTGCAATGAAAGTAAAAGCAGTCTTTGTGATATACTTTATGGAAAGCATGCAAAAATTTAATATTAATATTCCTTCTTAGTAAATTGGGAAGTGCGAGGTTGTACTGCAGGTTTGCGCACATAATTACAAATGCATCTGAGAGATAGTGCTATTATTTCCAGGCTACAACAGCTCAAATGGCTGTCTTAATGTTGTATAATGAAAACACAGAAATGACGCTACAGCATATTTGCGATAGTACTAAACTTAGACATGAAGTCGTTGCACAAATTGCTCAAGCCCTTGTCAAGGTTTGATTTGGAACTATTTAAAAAATTGTTAGTTCATTTTTCTGCTTACTGACTTCCAAACCATTAACTATATCGCTTACAGGTGGAGCTGTTGTCGATTGCTGGACCAAAAATTGATATTGACGTAAATACTCCTCTTGAAACCGTTCTAAGACTGAATTCTCACTTCTCAAAGTATGATTTACTTTTTTAATGATAATAAGATTTGACCGTTTCAGTATTGTAAGTTGCAAAGATTCGTGAAAAATTTCGAAATGGAAATTTTTTTAGCAAAAAATTGAAAGTTGATCTGTCAAAAACGATGGCGCGAGCTGAGATACGTCAAGAAACAGTGGAAGTACATAAATCGGTGGAAGATGATAGGAGATTGGTTGTGCAGGTTAATGTTTCATCTAAGTTCTTGTCCTAACTTCAAATGGGTTTTAATATTATTGATTATTTTTAGTTTTATGAATTTTCTCTGTTTCAGGCAGCTATTGTTCGCATTATGAAGATGAGGAAGAAAATGAAACATACTCAACTGATTACTGAGGTAAGTGAAACTTTTTCGAGTCTTTTTCTATTAATTGTCTAATAATAATGCAAATTCACGAGTATGCAGAATCAATGTTGTTTTTCAAATTTTGTTGTGTTCTTATTTAGAATGAATATTGTGGAAAATCCAACTGATTGTAAATTTTGCTTGGTGCAAAATGTATTTCTGCTAATTTTTTGAATATAATTAATTGAAAAATTACAGGTTCTCGCTCAATTAGCATCACGTTTTAAGCCAAAAGTGCCGATGATTAAAAAATGCATTGATATTTTGATCGAAAAAGAGTATTTGCAAAGGGTGGAAAATGAGAAGGATCTCTATGAATACCTTGCATGAGCTGATTTTTTTTTTTTTTTTAATATATAAATTGAAGAAATTTTATTTCTAATATAAAATGCAGTCTTTGTATGCTCACTGATGCTATTGTGTATAACCGCGTTTATGTATTTTTTTTATTTCGGTGTAATGCGTTGTTTTCTCATCTTTTGCTGCCTGATATTTAGACGTTGTATCAGTTCCTGACAGAGTTTCTTTTGTCTTGTAATTTTAGAAAAATTTAAAATTTTTCGGATCATAATGTAAAAATGCTACGCCAATCAGGGTATCATTTATGACTTGGAACACTTGAAATGTTCACTTTGTATTATCGGAAAAAATAAAGGGTGTGATGTTGTGAAAGATGAATAAAACATTAGCATTGCAAATTTTTGGCTTTTCCTGAATTTTTAGAAAAAATTTGGGTTTTTTTCATTGCAGGTATTAAATTTTATTTTCTTTATAAGAATATTTTTTGCATTTTTTGAACAAAGTATTTAGAATTATATATTTCCGGAAATCCTATTTTTGTTTTGCTGATTAATTTTGATTATAATTTGTTTGTTTTGGTAGTTTTTGGTAAGTCCAAGATTAATTTATCCAGCAAATGAGGCACATTCAATCATTGAATTCAATACTTGATTTGTTATACATTTGTTGACCATATTCTCTGGTCTCGTTTTGTAGCACAGTAAGTAAAACTTTTTTAACCATACTTTTCAGGTAATTAAATTCCGATTTATTGCTACGTTTTCATCCTTTCATTTTTGTCTGAGAAATTTTCACTTTTCTCGTTTAATTTAATTAACTTCTTCATTGTTTGACGGTGGATATGAAACGTCAATTAATTTGTCGAGATTTTATTGCTAAAAAAAAAAAAAAAAATCCCTAAAAAAACTGAAGAATCTTGGTGCTACCTCCTTTATGTATTCTCTCCACCTTTTATTCTGAATTTGGTTCTCAAAGTAAGCCTAGTCCAAGATGAAATCAATTATAAATAAGGTATTTCTAGAATTTGGTGGAATGTGTAATCAACATACAAAGAAGTGTACAAATTTCACAAATACACCAAGTCAACGAGAAAATTTTATTTAGATTTTAACTTTTTTACTTCAGTAAAATTTTAGCTCTTACTTATTATTTCTTATTTATAAAAAGAACTACATTTCTCAAAAGAATAATATTTTATTTTTTAATTTATTCAAATTGAAAATAATTCATTATTTAACAAAATTTTAGTGACTTTTTTGTTTTCACTTTCAATAATGGATTTTTCTTTTTTAATTTATTTTTATTCCACTAATTCAATTTTACAGCTATTAACTAGCAATGAATTGGAAAGAAACAAAAATATTTATCCTATAATTAGTGTTATTTTATTTTAGATGTACTTTGGTGCAATAATATTACCACTATTTGCTACATTTTGTTTGGCGCAAAATGCATTCTTTCGTGAAGGGGATTATCGTCAACTCTATCCATTGCTATCAATTGTTATTCGTTTGGAAAATCATGCCCATGCATTGCCATATTTTTTTGGTTTAATAGAAAATCTTGATTATCCAAAGGATCAAATATTAATTGATATATATATGGGAGCACATATTGATGCAACTTTTTCAAAAACCAAACAGTTAGTTTTATGATTGTATAGCAAAATGATTGAATAAAGTAGTTTAATTTTTGTAATTTATTTAAGTAACATTGCATGCATTTACATTCGATTATATGCTGGTAATGTTTGCAAAAGATAGGACAAAAACATATAAAAGTTATAACTTATAAGTAAAAATGTTTAGTAATAGTTTCTATGGATTATAAGTGTTATAAAATTACAGGTGGGCAAATGATGCAAAGAAGCATTATCGTTCAATTTTTCTTACTGATGATGCAAAAAATTGGCAAGAAGAAGCATTAATGAAAGCAAGAAGCAGTCAAGCAAAATATGTGCTCTATCTAAAGGTACACATAAAGTTTTACATAGAATGAATGCTTGATACAAATGTAGAGTGTTTTAAAAATGTGACAGAATTCGCAAAGAATTTTGAATTGAAATGTTTAAGATTAAAGGTTAAAAATATTTCTTTGTTTTTCTTAAATTATTTTAAAAAAGAAGAAAAAAAAACTTTTTTTTCAGGGTGATCATTTGTTAACGGATCATAGAATTCTTCAGACGTTGATGCGAAAAAAGAAATTAGCTATTGCTCCTCTTCTTTTTGCACCATATGGTGATCCACCTACAGTTTTCATATCTGAAGATTATAACAATCGAAGAGAAATATCTGTTGTTGAAGTAAGTTTGTACGTTTGTTTTAATCGTATATTCGTAATTTTATCAAAATTGTCTGCAGCACCAAAATAGGATATTTGATAGCAATGCATTTAATGATTTATAGATAGATACTGGATAAGATGGATATACGAATATTTGCTATTAATATTTCAACATGCATCAAGCTAGCATAGAAATTTGCTTTTTTAAATTATTCATTTAAATATTAAACTATTCATTATAGGTTAATATGGTCCCAGAACCGTTACTGTTAAATTTGGCACACAGTGATTCGTCATTTTTAACATTTTCTTCCGGAAATTTGTATGCTTATTCTGAAAGCGATTCTAAAGAACCAAATGCTGTGTTTGAGAATTCAGCATCTCGGATGAATATACCATTTTTTTTGGATAATGAATATTTTTATGGATATTTTTTCAATCATTCATTACGTTCATTGGATTATCAACGAAAAGCGGTTTGTTTACTTACAAGCATATCATAATTTATGTAATTTCTTTTATGATTTTAGCTTTGTCATTTGTATAATCAGTCGTATGAAAAGAAACTAAAGCTTTCGTCTTATATTGTATTCATTGTTAAATTATTGTATATTTCTAAACTTGTGTTTCTGTAGTTTGAAAAATGTATAAGGATTGAGTAAAGAACATATCATTTGAGACAATTTATGAAAATTTATGAATGATTTAAATATGATAATTTCTCTCTTACAGCTTCGTTATCTGTTAGCCGACTGGATTGCTAATAGTGGTCTAATGCCAATTGTACACTCATCATTTCTCAAAGTCACTTATCCAAGACCATCGCTTTTTGGTGTTAATAAAATTTATGTTATCAATCTTGAACGAAGGAACGAAAGGTAGTGATGAAAATTACAAGTGAAATGAAATGAAAATTATTACATTTGACAGCAATTAATTTTTGCTAAAAATACTACAATAATGTTTTTTCTGCATTTCAGTACCTGTTATTTTGTATACTTTTGCAATGAACAAGTTTATTTGTTTTAATAGTTTCGGGATTTTTTTTTTATTTTTATTTTTAAAGTTATTAAAAGCTATTAAAATTATTTAAGAAAAGCTAAAATGATGGAATTATTAAAACTAATGGGTTTTGAATATACATGGTGGAAAGCGACAGATGGTCATCACTTGGATTTGGAACCACTATACAAAGAGGTTAAATTTTTGCCTGGATATGAGGATCCGTACTACAAAAGACCGATGAAAGCGGGAGAAGTAAGTAAACTTTATGAAAATTTAATATAAAAATGCAAATTGGTGGAATAATTAATATTTTAGTTTTTGTTACCCAGATTGTATGTGATTCAGCTATTTTGCAACATATGAGAATCGAATACTTTTTTTGTTTAGATGGAATTAAATTTTTTTATTTAAGGTCGGTTGTTTCTTGAGCCATTATCGCATATGGCAAGAAGTTGATGAAAAAAAATTGGATCGTGTAATTATATTCGAAGATGATTTGCGTTTTGTAGTTAATTCGACAATTCTTCTAAAAGAACTTATTGAAGATATTGATAGTATCGAAATTGAATGGGATTTGATATATTTGGGCAGGAAACGATTAGAAGGTGCAGATGAAAATTGGGTGCCTGGTAAGTTATCAGATATAAACTTTTCTATTCTCATAATTTTTAATTATGCTTTAAGGATTTTAAAAATATTCTTTGATATGAAGCTAACTGTATTTGTAGTTTTAAAAATATTCTCTGATATGAAGCTAACTGTATTTACAGTCATTAATATAATGCTTTGAAATAACTCTTGAGTTAGACGTACGTTAAAAACAGTTTTTTACCATAGGAATAACTTCGCCATCTCAATTCTATTTAATTATGAAAGTTTGCTAATGAATGGTATTTGAATAAATCTTTCATTTAGTGGAAATTATTCTCATACTGTCTTATCTTAACTTATAACTCTACATTTTTTTTTATAGGTCATCGACATCTGAGCACTGTTGATTATTCATATTGGACACTTGGTTATGTCTTATCATTAAATGGTGCTCGAAAATTACTTGCTGGCAATCCTTTGAAAAAACTTCTACCAGTGGATGAATATATTCCAATTATGTTTAATAAGCATCCAAATACAACATGGTCAAATGCATTTCCACATCGTAATTTAATTGCTTATACGATTTATCCAACCATTGTTGTTCCAGAAAGATACACATATCAACATGGTTACTTTAGCGATACAGAGGATTCGGATATTGTTAATATAGAAAGTGCAACTTGGACACCCGAGAAAACAAATAAAGATGAATTATAAGTTTAATTATTGAAAATAATACTGATCAAACATTAATGTTCAGATTAAATTTCAGATTTCTGTGTGTTGTTCTCAAAATGGTAAAGACATTTTAGTCTGATCATAATAGCATTAAAAAAAAAAAAAAAATTACTTGATTTTTTACTTGAATTTTGTTTTTAAATCATTTCGTTATTCTTTTCTATTCTTAAATAAATTAGCTATTCTTCATCTAAAATTAGCTGAAATTATAACTACTGGAATTAAGCAATATAAACATCAATGTTTATTTAGCTGTTCGCAAACAAATATACTTCCTCATTATAGGTAATATGGAAATTGGAGACATTCAATCGTTTTATATTGTCATAAGCTTTAATTTTCATAGCTTTAATTTTCTTAATATTTTTGAAGCTTTATTATATTAATTTTATATCATTTTTTTTTGCTGTGGTGCTATTGATGATCTAGTTATGGAATCATTGCTTTATTTTTGAATGCTGCCTGTCGGTTTCTTTTCTATATTGATTGCCTTACAACAATTGCCATAAACATTTATTCATTTCAAAAATTAATGATAAAATTTTGATAAATTTTATTGTGATTTCTCTTCTACAACCTAAAATCTGCTATGATTACTGTTATACGATTCTTAATTATAATAGATTATACATAGCATTATCGTTATTTCTTGTTTGTTGAGGTTGTATGAGATAGCAATCGTAAAGTGAAATATTGATTGCAGATTTCTAGAAGAGAACTAATTCTGTGTTTGCTAGTAGCACAAGAAAAATGTTTGTTAATATTTTTTATTTTGATCGTATCAAACATTAAAATTCACAACGCTGGAGTTTCTGCGTAATTCCAATTTGCAGTTTTACTGGCAAGGTTTGTTTATTTGTTTGTTATTAAATTCTTTCTGAAATTTAGAAAATTTTTTATTTGATTTAATCTCGAATGAAATTTTAGGGTTAAGCAGAATGGGTTGCATTTGCGGAAAGCCAGATCTTGAAATTGGAATGCAACAGTATCGGATACTAAAACCTTTTGCTAAAGGGTAAATTTTTGATCTAAATGTTTTAAAATGAAAATAGAAGATTTGTATAGGAAAGATTTATTTTACATTAACAGATATGATGTTAAATATTTTACAACTCATTCAACGAGTAAATAGTAGTAAAATTTTTTAAGTAAAAGTAAGGTTAAAGTTTTTTTTTTTTCGATTTATTTGCGTAAAAGACCAAAACGATGTCAAATATTTGAATGGAATACCTTTGCAGAGGATTCAGTCAGTTATTTCTGGTGGAAGAATATAAAACTGGTCATAAATGGGCTTTAAAACGAATTGATTGTCATTCAAAAACGGACATTGAACGTGTACGGAATGAAATTGATGTACAACAACGATTCGGAATGCATCCGAACATTTTAACACTTAAATGTTTTACAGATGACGAAATTCCGCATGGCATTCGATTTTCACTTATCTTCACTTTTTACAAAGTGTGTGATAAATTTTTGTTATATCGCCAAAATGAAGAGTAATTTTTGACTTTGGTATAAATATTTTTCCGGACTATAAGAAAACCTAGAAAATCCAAAAAATATCAGTGAAAATCTTGTGTAATTTAAACAAAGAGTAGCTAATTCATATTTTCAACTGATGTGCATTATCATCAAATTCCATTTTATCTACTGACCTCCTAGGTTTTCTTGTAGATTTTCTTATTAAATATTTGTACTAAAGTAGATTTTTTTTTAGAGATATAAGTGGAAGCTTTCATTTCACTAATTTTTTTTTTATTTCATCTTAAATACTAACTGTTTGGTGATGGACTTTTGAGTGCATTTAAAGTTTATAATATGTTTGCATATCATTTCAGCGTGGTAGTCTTCAACATGAACTTACAAATCGTCGTCAATGCTGTGATTATATTACCGAAGAACGGGTGATACGTCTGTTTCTACAAATTATTTCTGCTGTTAAATTAATGCACTCATCTTCACCACCTATTGCTCATAGGTTAGTTTTTTTTTTTTCTTTTTTTTTTTTACATATATTTTGATATTCTTGGATAACTTATGCAATTTTAATTTCATTCTAATGGAGGGCAAGAAATTATATAATGATCTGTATAGTATTTCTGCAAATGTTTTTGTTTTTGTATTATTTTGAAGCATTATTCAAGAAAGAATTTCTGAATGCATCTGTAATTTTGAAAATTTCCTTTTTAAACTTTCGTAAAAAAGTATGCTTTTTAGAGATATTAAACCAGCTAATGTGTTGTTGTCAGACGATGATCGTCCGATACTTATGGATTTTGGTAGTTGTTTCTCGTGTCCAATAATAATTAATGATGGAAAAGATTCAAGAATGCAATTGGCCAGTTTCTCTTATCCTTTTGTACTATTGTTAATCATTTAAGATCACTTTTTTTTTGCAGTGATTTATATTTTGATGCTATAAATTTACTTTGTCTATTGAATGCTACAGCATTTGATTCAACAAAATTATTTCTTTCTTTACCGAATGTTTGTAAAGTTTTATTATTTTAGGATGAAGCTGGTGAATTATGTTCAATGCCCTATCGAGCTCCAGAACTTTTTGTTTGTGAAGTTGGTTCAATAATCGATCAGTCTGTAGATATTTGGGTTTGTGTTATTTATAGCAACAACTTTTTAATTTTAGTTAAATTTGAACTTTTTAAATATAATTCCTAATCGATAGGCCAAAAAAAAAAAAAGAAAAGAAAAAGTAAATTTCAGTCACTTGGTTGTCTTTTATTTGCCTTATGCTTCTTCCGTTCACCATTTGATGATATCTATGAACGTGGTGATAGCATTGCACTTGCTGTTCAGTCAGGAAAAATTACTTACATTGAAAATCATCCGTAAGTTCAGTTTATATTTTTCAGAACAGAAAATTAAATTTTTTTTTTTTTGAAATTTTTAGATTTCTTACGAATGGGATATAAGTAAGAGGTTTGTATTATCTCTTACTCTTACTCTATCAAAATTTAAAGTTTCATTTGTCTTCAGATATAGTCAAAAAATCTTAGATGCAATTCATGCAATGATAGCTGTTGATCCAAAGGATCGATCAAGTATTGCATCTATTTGTGAGCTGTTGGAAGGATTTTAGTTTTATAAGACAAGGGTAATATTAAAAAAAAAAAAAAAAAAAATTGTAATTAATTTCAACATTTCCTGTTCATATATATTTCTGATGTTTTAAAAAAAAGCATTATGCTATGTGTATCAAACAACGCCTTTCATAAGATTTTATAAGCACTTTAATTTAATTTAACGTTTAATTCATCCCAATAGCGCCAGTTCATGTGAAAAGTATTTATATGCTTTTATTTTAAGATTTAATCGTAATTGTACTGTCATTGATACATTTTTATTCATTTATCTCACATTATAGAGTCAAAAAGTTAAGAGTTATTTTTAGAAACTTTTTTGATCTTTCTATCATTTATAATTCCTTAAATTGTATAATTTGACTCTAAAGAATACATTCGAAATATCATTACAATTGCATAAGCTTCTAAATTTTTTTATAATGTTTGCATGAAATTTTAAACATCTATAAATTGTGTATATTAATTTATACATATATTTGTATTCCTGTGTCTCTATCTATTTTTCTACTTATTTATATGAGAACTAATGTAAAATAAAAATGACACATGAAATAAGCAATGTCGTATTTTGTTAAAATTGTCATTTTAAATAATGCAATAAGCTGAAATAGTTTTTGCAGTTGTGATGTTATGTTTCTGAAGTAGCACCTAAAAATGAAAAGTAAAATGAAAATCGAAAGCTAAAAATGTGAATAATAACATTGAATTGAATTAATTAATGCTTTAATAAATGTTTAAAAGAAATGAAAATGATTATTTCTTGTTTATAGTATATTAATTCAAAATTACAAAATCTTTCCATCTTTCCATAATCAAAGCAATCAATTTATAACAATTCAAAGGCATTTAGATTGAAATCAAAATATATCATTAAATGAGAAATGTTAAGTTATATTTTTTTTGCTTTTATTCTTTGGTGAAATTTTCCAGTGATTTTTTTTTTTTTTTTGGTGATCAATTAATTATAAATCTTATGTACGATATAATAATACAATGGCTAGAAAAGTATTAAAATTATACGAATGAAAATATTGAATGAAAAAAAAATTTGATATCGATTTAGTGAAATTATTGATTGATCAAAATTTATTTATTTTTCATACTTCCATTAGATCACTGATGGAAATTTTCACTAATTTATTTCAACTAAAAGATCACATTATAATCATTATCAGTGATAATTAATGAGAACTTTTTTCTTGATCTGCGAAATTTAAATTTTGAATTCAACACTAAATGTACCTTTGAAAGAAATATTTTAATACAATATTCAATACCAATGACAAATTTCATTAATCAAATTATCATCAGAAGAAGGAAAAAATTTGGGCTAAAAATTTTGAAGAAAGAATTTATAAGTAATATATTTCATTTATTCATTATTCTATTAAATGAGAAAGACATTATTAAGCTATTTTACAAATAAATGCTTATATAATTCGAAATATTATATAACAAAGTACTTAATTAATTCATTATTACTAAATAATAAAATCATGAAATGAGTGTGAATTTTTGTAAATATTAACAACCTTGCATTAGATTATTTCAAAATTTAGCTTTATTTTATGATTTGAAATAATTTTTGTTAGGTATATCTGATCACATTATCTGATAAAATCACCTACATAAGCCCGCAAATCATTAATGAATATATAAAAAAAAAAAAAATATATGAAATTTTCATAGCAATTTTAGCTAACAAACAGATCAATTGAAATAATTATGCAATTGTGATAAAATACAAAATTATCAATGTTATTGCTGTTAATGATAAATTCAATTGATAATTGCAAGCTGCACCACCACCTTCTGCAAAGAACAAAAAAAAATTAATGAAGAAAAAGAATATTAAAAATTAGTAATTAATTCTCTTAATATAAATTTTTTTCAAAATTTTTATTCTCTCAAAAATATCTTTTAAATAATTCATAACACATTTTTATAATATAACTGATTAATTCATTCATCTATTATAATTTAAAATTACAATAAAAAAAAAAGAGAAATATTTGCTTGTCAAAATTTTTGTGATAAATAAAAAAGAGAAATTTAATTTATTGTTCAGTAATAATAATAATTAATAATAAAATATCTAAATAAAAATATAAAAAAAAAAAAAAAATAATTCATAATACATTTTTTATAATATAACTGATTAATTAATTCGCCTAAAATTTTTGTAATAAAAAAAAAAAAAGATTTTAATTTATTTTTCACCAATAATAATAATAAAATATTTATGCAATATCGTTTCTTTCTTTCTTTCTTTATTTTTTTAACCATTTGTAATATTTGTTAAATTATAATTTTAAAAATATATATTTTATAATGAAGATAAATTGAAGAAAAAAAAAAAAAAAAAAAAGGAAATAATCCCAATTAATTAGCTCATCATTTATTAAAATATTTTTTGTTCATTTAATAATTTAGATTAATCAATGAGCAGGTGTTAAAATAATCGATTATAATTTGAATATCATCTGTCATTATGCTCATATTACAAAAAGCGGTATCCCTTTTTATTTGATGAAATGATTTGTACTACTATAGCTAATCTCTCTCTCTCTCTCTCTCTCTCTCTCTCTCTCTCCTTTTTTTCTTGTTCATATTTTAATAATCATTAATTATTATCATTAATGTATCTATTTATCATTATCTATCTATCATTTTTGCATTTATTAATTTATTTCAAAAATTTCATTCATTCATTCATTGAACATTAAGTGTAATTAAAAATTGAGTTTCAATATAATTTAAAAATTTTTATAAATGTAATTAAAAGTTGAAAAAAAGAAAAATCAGTGTAATTAAAAAAAACTTTATAAATGTAATTAAAAAATAAGAAATTAAAAAAAAAAGCTGTAATTTATAAGTGTGATTAAAAAAAAAAAACTTTATAAAATGTAATTAAACATTAAAAAAGAATAAAAATATGTGTAATTAAAGTTTTTCATAAATATAATTAAAAATTAAAAAAAAAAGAATAAAAATAATAGGTGTAATTTATAAATGTAATTAAAAATTTTATAAATGTAATTAAAAAGTTAAAAAAATAAAAATAAGTGTGTAATTAAGAATAAAATTTATAAATTATAATTAAAAGTTAGGGAATAAATTATAAATGTGATTAAAAAACTTTATAAAACATAATTAAACATTAAAAGGAATAAAAATAAATGTGTAATTAAAAATGAATGCAATTTATAAATTAGAATTAAAAGTTAAAAAATAAATAAATAATTATTTTTATAAGAATTAAAATTTCAATAACTAACCATCATCATCATTATCATCATCTGATATTGCATAACCTTCAGCTGATGATGAATCACTAGTATGAATTATATACAATAATGGTGTTGATACTTCGGCTGAATTCCTGTAAATTTATTATTTCAATTTTCTAATTTAATTTGAAAAAAAATTCTTAAATTTTTGTTCAAATTAAAAAAAAAAAAAAATATTTTATGAGTTTTTACAAACAAAAATTACATCAAAAAAATTTATATTTCATATTTATATATTAATAATACTAAACTAAATTTTTATTCAAATTAAAAAAAAAAACAAAAAAATAAAAGATTTTATAACTTTTTATAGAACAAAAATTACATCAAAAAAATTTATACTTCATATTTCATATTTATATATTAATAATACTAAATTTACTCTCATTTTAAGTTATTTCCCTCTTCCATTTCTATAATTATTGTTGGTTGAATTAATGAGAGTACAGACAATCAATCAGACAATAAAACTAAAATTAAATTAACTCTTAACTCAAGAGTACTAATTATAATTGACAAAAATTGTTGATGTGTAATATTCTTGAATGAAATTTTCATTTTCAAAATCTGAGAGAAAGAATGAAAATAAAATAAACAAAACAAAATCTCAACATTTTTGTGCAATATTTTATAAATTCAAAAATTTCAATAAATAACAAATAGTTTTAAAAATATTTTTAGCTTCGAATTTATTTATCAATTTTTTTTTTCTACGCAATATCTAATAATTTCGAAAATTTTAATGGTTTTTTTAAAATATTTTTAGATTTAAAATTTGTTTATTAATTTGTAAAATTAATTATTAATTCTACAAAAAGAAAACAAAAAAAAAAAAAAAAACTTACTGTAATCGATGCCTAAAATGAGCACTTGAAGGTTCAAAGTAATCATTGAGATTATTATCATCACGATCTGTAAAAATTTATTTTAATTTATATTAATATCAAATTTTTTGTGAATTATTTTAAATCATTTCATTTCATTTCATTTCTTAATCTTTGTTATTGATTTGAATTTAATTTATATTTTTTTTTATTTTTTTTTTCTGTCATTAATTCAACATTTTTTTTCTCTCTCTCTCTCTCTCTCTGTTTCTCTCTCTCTCCCTCAGTGCAATGTAAATTGAAAAAGAAAAAAATTTTCAAATTATAAAATTAAAATTTTACATTAATGAGGTTGTATTTATTTATAAAACACAAAATATATTGACTACTAGAATGATAAATTGTCAACGAAAAGACCTTGAAATTAGCATAATTTTCTAGATTTCTATCATACTTATGGTATTCATTAATTTTAAATTAATCCATATAAGAAGATTTCTCTCTCTCTCTGTCTCTCTCTCTCTCGTATTTGTTTATGATTGCAAAGGTTCTTAAGGATTAAAAATTAAAACTTTAAATTGTCTTTTTATCATTCGTTAAATAATAAATTTTAAAGAACTACTTTTAAATAATAAATTTTGAATAATAAATTTTTTAAATAATTTGGAATAGAATGAAATTGTAAATTTATTATTTATTTTTGAAACTAGTTTAGTTCATTATAAATTAGCAACTAGAATTAAGTTATGTAGTAAAACAAACTACACTGTAGTATGTCATTTATTTATTCATTGAAGTACTATTTATTTAATTAAATAAATAGTGCAGAAAATTAAGAAAGAAATGGAAGGACAACAATAATAAATAATATAATTTATTATT